GGCTTCGACCTCTCATTTCCTCGCATCCTATGGACCCAAGTCCCCCCGAACCGTTTCTCCATCGCGGAATTCAAAACTCATTTCGACAGCATGGTTGCCGCCGAGATCAAAAAAGGCCGCTATGTCGGCCCCTTTACCCGTTCTCAGCTCGAAGGCCTTATTGGGCCATTCCAAACCTCTCCTCTCTCTATCATCCCAAAATCCGGAAAGCCTGGCCGCTACCGTCTTATCCAAAATTTTTCCTTTCCAATTTCTCCTTCGCCTGCATACCCTAATTCCTCAGTCAATGCCTTCATCCGCCCGGCTGATTTTCCTTGTACCTGGGGCACATTCACAGTTGTCTGCCTCATTATTGCCCACCTTCCCCCAGGCTCTCAAGCAGCTATACGAGATGTCGCGGAAGCCTACAGGACTGTGCCTCTGCACTCCTCGCAATGGCCTGCAACTGTTGTCCGCTCAGGTGCTGACACTTTCAGTATTGACAAAAATGCCGCCTTCGGAGCAGGGCCCTCGGGCGGGGGTTATGGTTACCTCTCAGATGGGGGAAAGGACATCTGCCGCTCGCAAGGCATTGGGCCTCTCTCCGGGTTTGTGGATGATCATATTTTCTTCCGGCTGCAGCGGTGCTGGCTTGAGCGCTTCAATGCATTGCGGTTGCAGTGGGCTGCTGCCTTGGCTTTGCAACGTCGCCACCAGTCGGGTGGCCGCATTTGGTATGGAGGTCACATCATGCCCAACGGTCAGTGCTTTGAGCTTGACGAAGACTGCCGCTTTCCCATTCTCGACCTTTCCTCATCCTCTCCACGTTCTGCTGAGGATGCTGCCTACACCTACTGCCTCGATGATGTGGACCACGTCACCTCTCGCCTCGGAATCCCCTGGGAGCCGTCAAAGGATATGCCCTTTGCAGAGGTCACTACCTACATTGGGCTCACGTGGGATCTCGCCGCCCGCACAGTCTCGCTCGGCGCTGGAAAACGAGAGAAATACCTCGCTGCGATTGAGACGTGGTCAGCGCACCCGACGCACCCACTTGAGGAGGTGCAGAAACTTTACGGCAAGCTCCTCCACACTTGCCTGGTCGTACCAGCAGGCCGCGCTTATCTCACCAGTCTGGAGGCCACCCTGGGCATCTACGGTGACCGTCCTTTCCTACCACGGCATCCAGCCTGTGGTGTGGCCAATGACCTCAGCTGGTGGCGTGATAGACTTGCCTTCTCATCCCTCTCACGCCGCATCCCGTCTGCAGCCCCGATTTATGACTGTGGAGCATTCTCCGATGCCAGCTCAGGCATTGGGATTGCTATTATCATCGCAGGTCGATGGCGCGCCTGGCGCCTCATCCCTGGTTGGAAAACCCTCGATGGTGCCTGTGACATTGGCTGGGCCGAGGCAGTCGGTTTTGAGCTCTTGGTCGCCACGCTCCTCCATCTCGACCGGGCCTCTCAGCGACCTCTCAAGGTCTATGGTGACAACAAGGGAGTTGTCGAGGGTTGGTGGAACCATCGGAGCCGTAACACAGCTGTCAATGGGGTCTTCAGACGTATTCACACCCTCCTGGAGGCAGCAGACCGCGTTGACTGCATCCGCACTGCCTATGTCGCTAGCGCAGCCAACCCCGCAGATGAACCTTCCCGTGGAATTTACCCCTCAGTATCCCTTCTCCTGCCTCCAGTCCCACTGCCTGAGGATGTCAGTCGTTTCCTCATCTGCGCCACCCTACCCCTCTCGCCTCTCGAGCTCCGTCTCATGCGTGAAGGAAAGTACCCTCCTGCCTCGGAGAAGTGCATCCGTGAGGGTGTCTCGAGCCTGGAACGTGAGGCGTTTAACGACACCCACTTCACTGAGCACATCCTCTTTGGCGCCGACCTCGCTTATGATGACTAGTTTTCCCTCGAGCCGCTTTTCAGCTCCTCTGCCAGTGGTCGCACGTAAAGGCTCTCGGCCCAAACCATACCAGCCAGGCTTAACACCACTCCCCTCCATCTTACGTCCCCACTGCCTGGCGGCAGACCGCCTTCGTCTATGGCTACCTACATGTGCCCATCCCTCTCTGTCTGCTTCGACGAGTGGTTTCTCCCTATCTCTGGCAGAGCTCGAGCGCCTTCTCGATGTTCTGGCCTTTTCCTGGGCACCAAATACATTGGAAACCTATGGGGCTGGTCTCCTGCTTTTCCATGTTTTTTGTGATCAGCGGATCCCACCCGTACCTGAATGTTTGCGTGCGCCGGCAAGCGAGGATCTGCTCCTCACTTTCCTTACAGCATGTGCTGCCTCGTATTCCGGCTCTGCACTCAAAAATTATTTCTATGGAGTCCGGGCTTGGCATACACTCCATGGCCTGACCTGGCCCCTCAACGACATCCGGATGTCAGCCGCCCTCACCGCGGCTGAGCGCCTGGCTCCACCTTCTTCCCGGCGCCCCAAATGTGAACCTGTGACACCTGCCATCATCATTGCCATCCGCAAACATCTTGACCTTACCCAACCTCTTGATGCGGCGGTGTATGCTTGTTTAACCACCACGTTTTGGTCTGTTGCTCGCTTGGGTGAGTTCACAGTGCCCACCATCAAGTCATTTGATGCTACGCACCACGTGAAGCGCTCTGATGTCATTGTCACTGAATCAAGTGGGCGTTTGGGGTTGCCTGTCACCACGTTCAACCTTCCATGGACAAAGTGTTCTCCCACTGGCGAAGCCGTGTATTGGTCTCGCCAGACCGGCTTGGCTGACCCTGAAGCTGCTCTCAACAACCACTTTGCTATCAACAACCCAGGCCCCGACGACCCCCTTTTCTCGTGGAAGCCTGTGAATGGCCCCAGGCGCCCTCTTTCACGCCCCGAATTCATGAAACGCTTCCAGGCAGCAGCCACTGCGGCTGGCATTGGCCCTCTCCAGGGCCATGGGATTCGGATAGGGGGTGTACTAGAATACATGCTCCGTGGTATTCCTTTGGACGTGGTCAAGTCCATTGGTCGCTGGTCAAGTGACGCCTTTCAAGTTTACCTACGCCAGCATGCCACAATCCTGGCTCCTTATATCCAAAACAGCCCAGTCCATGAGCCTTTCACTCGCCTGACTATGCCTCGTGTCCGTGGCTGACACCCATCTCCTTAAAACAAAATGGTGAGTTCCTGTTGCCCGCCTCCTACTTGTGGGGAGTCCTCGTTCGCATGACGCGTCGGCGGCCCTCCTAATCCATGGGACTCTTTGCTCATTCGGACTCCTTCCACAGACCCGGTCTGAGGGTTTCGAGTTTGGAAACCCAACGGTTTCCAGCCCAACCCTTCGCCATCATTATTGATAGCGAATGTCACACTCACCACTTATCTACATACTCGTAAATACTCGTTTTGTGTCGTTCTCATTCCGTACATACACAATGTATCCCAACATGGTCACACAGCCGTGTTCTACATAGACCTAGATGTCGAACGGCAGAGAGACGTGACTTGTTTGTCTGTGAACAATTGTGACAGGTCTTTGTCTGTCACGTGAGAAAGTCCCTCTTTGTAGATAGACTAAGAGAAAGAATCCAATTGTGATAGACCTACTTTGATAACCGATAGCTCTCACAAAGTAGTATGTTGCCGACCATGTATTCTGAATATCTGATTTCACTCGCTTATGTACAAGGAGCCTGCACTCCAATCATGATGACGACAGGTCTGCTTTTACGACGCTGACGGACGACAAGGCATTCATCGTCGTGTCTAGTAAACCTCCAGCAAACTATATCCCAGGTGCGCTCTACAAGGCGGTATACGAACCCAAATTGGAGTTTGAGGAATTCTAGAAGGAATCGACATGGTCGTTTGGACCGAGCTGCAGAATTTGGGGATGCCATGTTTTGTGCCATGGTGGAGAAGGGAGAATATTGGCACGACTTCAAGAGGGTCCTGCGCCTTTGCCAATAAATAGAGGGTGGCAAAGCTCGAGGAATGACGAGGTAGAGTTCGGATATCGAAGCACGTTGTGGTGGTGGAAGAGGAGCCCAACGTTCATCCAGTAATCTCTCAGATAATGATTATCGAGTTTGTTGATTCCGAAGATCTGAAGCTTAAGGTCACGCCTTCTGGGTTTAATTGTTAATGAACGAGACGCGTTGGCTGTAGGGGGGGGGGGGAAAGACTCACTCAACATTGTCAATTCCATAGCTTTACGCATTTCGAGAGGTGCCATTTCTACTCCTCTTGCCCACGGTCGTTCCGCTGAGCATGTTGTCCCTCGAGGGTAGCGTATACGTCCTCCTCTCAAACTCAGATGGATGACCAAAATTATTCCAAGGGCCGTTCGAAATCGCGGCCTCCGTCGTCGCCGTTTGGTTGCTATCCGCTGGCACAGTGTTTTTGCCCATGTGAGGGCCCGAGCTGATGTTCATGCTCGGCCCCATCATGCTCCGCATCAGCGTGTCGATGTCGTTCGTCACTGGCTGTACTTCCAGGGCAGCTTTGGAACCACGTAGCAGGGTCTGTTCAAACAGTTCATTTTCTCGGAGTTGGTCCACTTCTGCGCGTAAGGAAGCCATGACGCGGTCATGTAGCACTGTGTACCTCGTCAGAATAATCGAAAAGAACTTTGAAAGGGAAAGGCGCACTCTTCTCCTCCACGGCATCCAGCTTCTTGTCCATAATTCTTATTGGCCGTCCATTCGGTCCTGGTATGATCAACAATGGGTCTTGATCTGCCTGAAGTTCCTCCTTCCTAGGGGAATGCAACCCGATCTTCTCGTCGCATTTCTTTTCAAGCGCAGATTGGGAGAGTTGGAGGTCGGTCTCGCTAGTCCGGTCTGCGTCATAAGCGGTTCCTACTGACGACGCGGGGGATGGAGGTCGAAGAACGGGATCTGCGTAGTCTGTATGGTGTCCATGAGTAGGAAGGCCAGACATGTAAGTATTCAGATTGAAGGCGACAATGGCATGAAGTGCACACCATCGCCAAATGGGGCACAAGGTCCTATGTGGATCATATTATTAATCACAAAAAAGCACGTACATGTGGTGCTATAGTGTAGCGGTTATCACTCGGGATTTTGAAACTGTATGTCGTTGTCTTCCCGGAACCCAGGTTCGAACCCTGGTAGCACCTTAGCATGATAGGAGTCTTCTTTTTTGTGTTGTGTTGTTTTGTCGATTGAATTTGTGCATCCAGCCTTGTGATCCACACAGTTTTCTATTCCATTATGCTCAGGCAATTCGCATGCAACCGAATTGTGCTCTGATTTCCCTTTGCCTTTGACAGGCTGCGCTTGACCCCCGCAACTTATCTTTGATTCTCCCTTTGTTTTATAAGACTGCTTTGAACTTATGTTGCCCGGCCCGAAGTTGGGTACATTTGCTTCAAGTTCCGCCGATCGTACTATTCCATCAATTTGCAACTTTCTCGCGAACAAGATTTTCTCTGAGTCCCACAGGTTCATAGACAATCAGATGACCCAGAGTTTTCCTCCAATTGAACTGCAAACACTCGAACGCGATGCAATCCTAAGGTCAGTGTGGAATAGATGCAATACAAGCTTGTTTCAGACAGCGATCTATCTAGGCGCCAATCTCAGCTTCCTCCTTCATGACCAACTTCTCGATGACTTCAGGCTCGAAAGATGAACGATACTACTTCCCAAACGGAAACATCACAATTCTAGTGTCGGAAATATTGTTCAAGGTAAAGAGTTAATCACTCCGAGTCTTGCTGCTTTTTTGTTGTCTTCCTCTAAATTGTTTTCATACGCTGTCAGGTTCATAGACATATTTTGGCGCGGGATGGGTCCACTTTTGAGAACATGTTCTCTTTGGATGTCCACGCAGAGGCAAATACACCTACCAACGGCTCCATTATCTTTCAGCAAGACGGAGGCAGCGATGAGAATCCCATTCAGTTGCAAGGAGACACAGTGGACGAGTTTCGAGACCTACTTTGGTGTCTGTACGCCTTGTGAGACACACGATTATGCTTATCCCGTCCTCGTCATTATTCACCGAGGATTCTTTGGTAGACCACAAGAAATAGCGGTAGCGATGTCTCCTGAAGGTGACATCGTCAAACTGTCCAATGTCGCTCGTATGGCTCACAAGTATCACTTCATCACCACTGAAGCTTGGGCGATTCGTACTATTGTCACGCAGCTGCAAGCCAAGCCCCCTCCTCCGCTCCTCACACATACTCTCATTCAAGTAACTGAGGCGGCTGTGCTCTGCAGCGACCACCCGCTTCTAGATGCTGTTCGTCAAAAATGGAAGGGCCTCATTGGTGAAAGGAAAGATTTGGCTGTGGCGATAGGTGTCACAGAGCGCTTCGGCATGCGAGATCTTCAGGGCCTTGCCTACCTTGCTATGCTGCTCCAAGGACGAGATATTTGGGATTCGGAGCCGCTCCTCACCAGGGATCATCGTATAAGACTGCTCTCTGGATACCATAATCTGACCAAGTTCTGTGATGCGCTCCCAAAGACTCCTCCGGATTTCGATCACAATCTGTCTTGTGGACGTTCGACGGACTGTGTGGAAAAATGGACGTTATTCTGGGAGCACATCACCATTCTGGACCCAGAACAGGGGCTTGGATCTCAAACACTCGTGCACGATAAGCTTGACCTGGTCGGGAGGTTGATGATGGCCGTAAGCGTCGTGATAGCTTTGAATCAGGGAGAGCGTATTGGTGGTTTCCTTGCCACTGGCTGCACTGGTTTCGCTCTGCAAGCTACGACCGTTCTTTGTCGTAAAATGCAAGAAGGGATGATGGATTTCTTCCAGGATGTTGTATGATCTTTTATTTTCTGTATGTCGTTTAGATCCGGTTTACTAGACACTTCACAATGTATACGTATATACTGTATGTTCGCCGAAGTAGGAAATATAAATCTCTCGTGGAGAAGATGTATACGCTAACACAATTTAAATTTCACGTTGTTGTACATCCTTTCCTGCTCCGCAATGCACAGCAACTCTAAGTCAGAATCCAGTGTAGGCGCAATGTGGATCCATGGTGGTATCTACCTGCACAGCCGTGGGTTGATGAGATGGGGCCAACTTACTCACAAGACTCACATGTTTTGATGGACTCGGATTCCCATCATCTTAGTTCAACCCGACCTTGACGGATCTTCCTTAGAATGCCCTACGATGGACTCTGGCTTTCGCGAGCCCCGACATGCCTGGTGAACTTTTGCACCCACCCAGAGCGCCAACTGACCAGCTACGCCTGGAGAGCTTCAAGACCCTTTCTCGCCTCCAGCTTATCTTCGAATTTCGACCTTGGCTGGAGCTCTCAAAAGACCATGTGAAGCGCCGCGTCGATTCGCCGTACTTTTTATTATGGGACTGCCTATGCTTTGGGGCCCCGCTAAACACCCTCCTGGAACTTATCGGATCGCCCACACCGCACCATCTCGTGGTAACGGTCGATGACTTTGACTTCAACCTCTCAGTCAAGCAGCGAAAGGAATTCTTTGCCAGCTTCATTCAACGCGTACAATCACTCGAGTCGCAGGGCCGGCTATCTTTTGGAGAGGTTTTGAGGGTGGAGGATTTTACGAGCGGTCTCAGTGCTGGGTTTTCAAGGGTGCGTGAAAACAGTTTCGTCACGCTTTTCAAACTAACATAAACCCTGGCCATTTCCAGGTCCTTCAGACAGTCAATCGCGTTCTATTTGCCCTTCATGCTTCCTATCCGGGAATATTCTCGGTACCACACGGGTCTGAACCAAGACGCGCAAGTCTTATCCAACAACTGATTGAGGGCGAGCGCGCATATAATGCTAAGCTTGCCTTCACGGCTGTATGTCTTCTTTCATTGCCTGCATTATCGTTGCTAGCCGCTAAAATCGAGATCGATTGACAGGACTCCGCTGCACAATTATACGAAAATCCTGTCGCTGCTCATCCTTCGCTTGAAGGGTTTATCATCAACTGTTCACGACTGATTCCTTATCACGAGCACGTCCTCAAGTCTCTCTCAGAAGTCACTGGAACCCCAGGAAGTGAAAATTGGGAATCTATCTTCGCGTTCCAGGTAACTCTATTACCATCAGATGGAAAAAACTTTGGGCGCTAACCTAGCGCCACACGACAGAATAAAGTATTCTTCACCAGAATGACAGGCTCGTACCGATCTATCTGTGCGAATTATCTTGCTTTCCAGAAATTCGTGAGCGACGTTAGCCTAGAGGTGTGAATCTTCAACAATTACGAAAGGTTTTCGACTAAATAAGACTCTTCACATATGACAGAAGGAGGCAAAAGAACTTGCTGGCAATGTTCTGCGAAGCCTCTCAAATGTTATATCTCGTTTCTCAGAATATCATTCTATATTTATTGTAGGCATCAGTTTGCATCTCGATTGCCCATTACTGACGTATATGCGCGTTGTTAGGCTATTCTGGAGGTTACATCTCCAACGGACCGTAACTCGTATGACAGCCTATGTACTATAACCCTGGAATCAAGTAAAATCTCAGAATCGCTGGCCGAAATTGGGCACGAACTTCGTACGATGTGGTGTTTCCAGCTCCTCGGATCGCGCTTTGGCTCCTTCAACCCATTGGACCAGGAATCGTTCGGAAACGCCCTTCTGGACGACTGTCTCCTCGTGGATCCAGTTTCGGGGCTGTATTACTCCGTCTTTCTTTTTGAAACCATGTTGTTGTGCTGTACGGACAACCGAAGGAGCGATATGGTCAATATAGGGAATACTCGTTATCCAGTCAAGCCTTGGGAGATTGGACCAGCGTTGATGGAAAAATACCCTCTGAACATCGTTCTCTCAATACCAACAGGCAGTCTCGTAGCTTTGCACTGTATAGACGCAGGTATATATTTTCTTTCATCCTAGTGTATTACCCCGTACTCATCCAGAATTTAGCCTATTTCGAAATTACATGGGGAAATGATGCTGAATGTAGTGTTGTTTTCTACCCCGTTAATCATCACCAGTACACGCAATGGACGACATTACTCGAACCCTTCGTCTCGCGCGTATATCACTCCACCTCTGTCCCGCAATACCTTGAAGACAACGATGGCGCCAGCGTTTACTCCGGAGTATCCCTCTTAGTGATGGAAGATGAGCACAAATTCGGTCTAAGACGTCGTTCTTCCATGGCACGCCCTTGGAGTCTTATTGGAAGAAAAGGCGCCCACTCCGAAAGCTCGTCGATGCTTGGGGTCGATGTCAGCGACAAGGTCTCGATTCTTAGTCCAAACCTATTGCCCACATTGTTCTTGAATGGCTTATCTCGGAGTCCGCTCCATCTGAACTTCGTGCCTGACGCAGACCCTATCCCTTCCACCCATCTGCTAACGGAGTCTCCCACGGAATATTCTACGCCTTCGGAGGACAAACTCCATGTAAATGGTGTTCCAAAGGGCACACCGTTACCTGACCTCACGGACAGTGTCGTCAAAGAAGGCCAATTTCCAATAGCTCATGGCGGATATTCAGACGTGTGGAGGGCTACGTGGAAGAGAGATCAGTGTGATATGAAGGTCAGTAGTCCATCTACTTCTCTAATCGCTAGATCTAAAAACTTTTTAGGTGGCGGTCAAGGTCTTGCGCAACACAACAAGTGACCCAACGACGAAGGAAAAGCTCATCAAGGTGTGTTATTCACTCCAAAATTTCCGGAAAGGGCGGTTATTAACCCTGAACAGCGTTTACGTCATGAATTGCACATCTGGAAACAGTTAACTCATCCTCATGTTCTCGAGCTCTGTGGAACGGTGTCAAACTTTGGACCCGACGCTTCAATGGTCTGCCCCTGGCGTAAGAACGGGAGCATCACGAAGTATCTAGAGAGGTCTGGTGACATTCTTAGCGTTGAAGACCGATTAAAATTGGTGAGTATATTGCAAAATGACTTCTTCCGAGATGGTTATTTACAATTGACCTCGTAGATTGCTGAAGTTGCGGATGGTTTGGCATATCGTAAGTTTATCTTTTTTATCTGATAAAGTCGCACTAAGTAACGAAATACTGTATATAGTGCACTCGTGCTCGGTAGTCCATGGAGATTTGACTGGTGTATGTGCCCGTCTTGCCCGCTGATCTAGTATACTTACTGATTACCCTCATTGCTAGTCAAATGTCCTTATAGAC